ATCCCAATTACAGCTTCTAATTGGGATTAATTTGTCGAGTTAATTAAGTGTGGAAATCCATTGCCTCCCAGATTTCTTTTATGAACTTCTTGCTCCCGAGCCCAGTCCCTGCCTGGCCACATCTGGCCACAGCTGGAAGGACAGAGGAGCGGTCACTGCTGTGTGATGACGCGGAGATTGCTGTGGCACTGCCACCGCCAGTGACAGCCAGCTGGGCTCCACTTTAGCACCCAGTTGCTGCTCTTCATTTGAGCTAGATGGAGAGCTGGGGACAGGAACCAACGTGGCTCAAACCTCCACACCAAACCCGAACAAGCCATTGCAGAGGGACAGAGATGTTGCAAGAGCCTGGGGACAGCGGTGGCCGAGGAACATCATTGCAGCTGTATCGGAGCTGCTGCACGGGGAGGCTGGTGATGAAGGATCCTTGCAGGTAAAACTGGTGCCACGTCCTCCCTAGCCTCCAGGACAAACCGTGCAAGGAAATCCCAGTGGTGAGAGCAAAGAACACGGGATGAAGCACACACAGCAGGGATCAGTGGACAGTAAAGGTGTAGGACTGGCAATGCCAGGAAAGGGGAGACGCAGAAGTTCGAGTGCCTGGACTCTGTCCGAGTGTTCCTTTCCCCAAGGAAAGCATTGCCAGAAGAGTGTGGACTGGGCTCTGCCTGGCTGCAATCGCTGTACAAAAAGACATGGACCTGCTCGAGCGGGTCCAGAGGAGGCCACAAAAATGATCCGAGGGATGGAACACCTCCCCCTTTGAGGCCAGGCTGAGAGAGTTGGGGTGGTTCAGCCTGGAGAAGAGAAGGCTCTGGAAAACCTTCTTGCAGCCTTTCAGTACTTAAAGGGGGCTACAGGAAAGATGGGAGCAGACTTTTTAGTAGGGTCTGTTGCAATAGGACAAGGGGTGATGGTTTTAAACTGAAGGAGGGTAGATTCAGACTAGATATAAGGAAGAAATTTTTTATGATGAGGGTGGTGAGACACTGGAGCGGGTTGCCCAGAGAGGTGGTGGGTGCCCCATCTCTGGAAACTTTCCAGGCCAGGTTGGACGGGGCTCTGAGCAACCCGAGCTGGTTGAGGATGTCCCTGGGCATTGCAGGGGGTTGGACCAGACCTTTAAAGGTCCCTTCTGACCCAAACCACTCTGTGATTCACATCTGCCCCAGCACTGCATGGCCGGGCTCATCTTGCTCCCCTGAGATACATGTACAAATCATGCCCCTGTTCCCACTGCCGCACACGGCAAGACAGCTGGCAGAGCTGCTGGTGCTTCCTATTATTTTTCTCAACACTCTGCTGAAAATTAATTAATTCAATTAATTGATTAAATAAACAATCCTCCATGCTCAGCGGCACTGAGCCAGCTGTGCACTGTGTTAAGCTGCAAGAACATCACCCGTTCCAAGGCTGACTTGCTGGGTCCCAGTCTCAGTGACATGAAGTTGGGATAATCTGGGAAGGAACTGGGGCTGGCAAGTGAGGGATTCCAATGCAATGGTCAGCAAAAAATTGCATGCACACCTCTGCAATGGCTGCATTTCCATGGAGGTTGCAAAGTCTTTCCTGATTTCTTAGAGATGCTGGCAGATGCTTTGAATCCTTAGATGAAAGGAACAAAATTAGGGCAGATCATTATTTCCTGTTTTCTGGCTTATATTTATAGAAAAGCTGACACATCTGGCAGCTCACTCTAAAACTAAAAGCAAACCTCTGACCTGTCTCCAACTGGTCTTTACTGGTTGCTGAGTTCCAGAGGGTGAGAGGCAGTAGGAGCCTTCCGAGAGATGGTGAGGAGAGGGGCTGCACACCCCCCAGCCCCTTTCCTCTCAGCTTTCCAAAGCCAGCAGCCAGGTGTTGGGAATGGCCACATTATCCATATATTTTTGCCCTCCTGAGGCTCTTTGCAGGCAGCAGTGGCACCTGCACCCAGGGGCCCTGGCTGGAGGACAAGCCCCACAGAGGCACCTAACCACCACCAAACAGTTCCCCCTCTCCCCATCATCCCAACCTTTAATTTTTCCCACTTTCCAGACAACCTGGATGCCAAGGTCTGGATCCCAGTTTGGCTCCCACTCTGCCCAGACTGGGGGATGTCCTGTCCCTGCCACCAGCACTGGCAGGAGAAGCTGCATCCTCAGCAGTTTTGCTCTGCTTTGTGGATGGGATGTTGGTATTTCTCTGCCTGCCTGGGGAATAATATTCAATGGGCCCTATCTCTCCAGAGAATATATCGATCTAGAGTTTTAAGAGCTTTCTGCTAACGAGCCACAATGAGTGTTTCTGGGCATCGCTGCTTGAGCTGGTAAGAAAGGGAACACTCAGCCCCACAGCTTTGAAAGGGGGTTAGACACACGCACACACACATGCCAAGTCCTTCTACTGGCAAAAAAAAAAAAAAAGAAAAAGAAAGAATAAAAAAGAAAGAAAGCAAAAAAGGCAAAAGATTTCACTGCTCTTTTCACTCAATAAGTCTGAGGACAGATTTTCAATTTGCTAACTTGCTTTATGGCTCTGGCTTTGCCAAAGGGAGCGAGAGATGAGGGAATAGGACAGGAGATTAAATGCATTCGTTTATTGTGGGAAGTCTTTCTAAAGGGGGAAAAAAAAAATTAAAAAAAAGGAAAAAAAAAAAAAAGAAGAAGAAAGAAAGCATGACACCAGGGAGACAGGACTCAATTAAAGCAAGACCTTGAAATACATGAGCCAGTAGTCCTGACCGCGGGTCCATTAGACATCCCTGTCAGGCGGCGTGCTTTGGTTCCCAGAGGCTGTGTGGCAGCTAGATCCATCACCTGGGGAAATAACCACCGGTGCTTACATCTTCAGCAGCTCCTTGATCTAGCGATAAACCCGTTAGGGAAAATAAATGGGTTTCTCTTGCCTGGACTGTCCGCATCACGGATGCAATTTGCCAATTTGCCATTTTACCGGGTTGCTGATAAGCAGGGGATCGGGAGGGAAAAGCCGCTTAACGATTTCCTAATAAAGCCCCAGATAAGAGCGGAGCCACGCTATTACCTCCCTCTGGCTGTGATTTACAGCCCAGATTGCTGCTCCAGGAGCTAACGGCGGCTGAGCCTCTGCAGAGGAGGGTGCTGGTGCAGGGAGAGGCGCCCAGCCGGCAGCGGGATGCTGCGAGGGGACGCTGGGGCAGGGACCACCCGCCCTCTCACCAAACCCCCCCCGCTGCCCCAGCTGCACTGGCAAGGGAAGGTTTTGATGCCATTAACATTAAAAACAGGGGAGAAAAACAGAACTCCAGAAGGAAAGTTCTGAGTGTAGTTACTAAGAGCAAGGCTCAGAAACAGTAGTTACTAAGAGCAAGGCTCAGAAACAAAAATCACCCCTGGCTCCATTTCTAAGTACAGAAAATGGATTTCCGGAAAAACATCATTCTTTCGACACGCCTGTCCTGGTTTCACAGCTGTCAAGAAGAGGAAAACAGGCTAAGAAAAAAACAAAACAACAAACTTCCAGAAGGCTCTGCCCGCTGTGATGCCACCAGAGATGCCATCAAAAGGTCCACAACCCCCCGCCCCAAGGAGACCCCAGGAGCTCCCTACACACATGCTCTGGGTTGTTAAATAAACTGTTTCATCCACCAGCATTGGAGGGTGTATCTGACAGCTCCTCATTTGATTTTTAATTGTTTGATTTTATTCAGAGTTTTAACACTGTTTCCCCCTCTTTTCCCCCTCCCAACTGGGGATTTCTTCTTTGTAATTAGTTGTGGTAATTAGAAACTCTTTCATATGCCAGCACCTTGGCTTCTCTTTAAATCTCTTCCATGCTCCTACTTAGTAAAAAGTTAATTTAATGTCTGTATCATCCTCAGATCTCCCTTCCAGATAGAACTGTGTCCTGGCTGGGGAGATCAGGGCAAGTGCTGGAGACTTGCTTGGAAAAGGGCTTGGGAAGGCAGCGGGATGCTCCAGTGATTGCTCGGGCACAGCCAGGGCCAGAAACACACAGAGAAAAAGCATTTCCAGGTGACAAAGTCCCTTCTCTTTTACTCCATCTCCTCTGGGAGCTGCTGTTGACCCAGCTCCTCCAGCCCTTGCTGCCACCTCCATGTCAGGGTGCCCAGGACCAGCAGCGCTGCAGGAGTTGATATGCCCCACGGCCCTGGCACACACACCCCACACAACAAACAATCTGGTGCCGATTCTGCCCCAAAACCACCGTTAATACCCAGCGTTGGCGTTACCCAACCAGCCAAGACCCCCCCCTTGCCCCTGCGTGGGGTGTTAGAGACCGAGGCATCACCCTGGGGCTCCACACAGGCCGAGGCACGAGGGGCTGTCCTGAGCACCCGCACTCTGGTCCCTGATACCTCCAGCGCCCGCGAGCGATGTGCAGTCACCGATGGGCCAAGAACGGCTTTTGCCCAGGCAGCACCCACCGAGAGCAGGACCTGGTGCCAGCTGATGGGGCAGAGACGTGACAGGTAATACCAGAGCATCGCTCAGCCCCATCACCCAAATTTACAGGCTGGCTTGAGATCCAACAAGCTTCCAGACAGATCATTATTTCCCATGACAGCGGCAAAGGTGAGCCAGCCGCCTTTTATTTCAGCTTGGAGAAAAATGCTCCTGCCAGGGGATAATTGGGACTCTGCAGCGGGAAGCAGGCACTGGGCTGCCAAAAGGTGAAGGCTATTTTAAAAGCAGCTGAGCAGAACCAGTGGAGAAAGCTGCCAGGGGAGCTGGTGCAATGAGCACTGCCTTGAGAGGCATCCTGAGCCTCCCGGTCTTTAAAGCTTGCTTAGATCCCCAGCAAAACCAGGTTTTATTTGGTCCTTACAACCCTGGGAAGTGAATCCCTGGTGGTTTCTGCTTACAAATCCCCCGTGCCTTTCCCGGGCCGGCTCCTGCCCACCCAGCACTCGCAGCAGCCGGGGCGAGTGGCGCGGGAGCCTTTGCCAGGCAATGCTTTGAGACCGAGATGAAAGGTGCCATAGAAAGGCACAAGGTATTGCTGTTCAGCTCTGCAAAGAGAGGTTTGCACTGCTTTTATTTATACACATGCTGGCTGCAAGACACAAAAATTACTTAATCAATCCTTCCCCTTGTCTGGTGTTGCAGGCGGGATGGAGGCTGCCTATGCAATTTTGCGCTGAAGATGACAAATTGCTCCGGGATAATGGCAGCGTCTCCAGCTCCCGCCTCATCTGGCGCAGGATGCGGCTGGTCTCGCCGCAGCGGGCTCACGGGCTCGGCTGAAGGGATGCCAGAAGGACACAAGCACCATGCGTGTCCCCCTTCCCGGGGCCAGAGCGGGGAGATGGTGAGGGAAGCTGGGGTCTGCCTGGTGTCGTTGCAGAGCTGAAGGAATGACATTTTCTCCCCAAACCTGGCTGCAAGCCACTGAGCCGCGGGGAGGATGGGCTGGAGGTGCCAGGGCTGCGTGGCACAGCTCCAGCGAGCAGCTGGGTCGTGGGGGAGACCTCGTGTACTCACCCTGCCATGGCACTGCTCGCCATCAGTCACCTCGAGACGGGGGGAGGACAAGCCTGCCGGTGTCTGGGACGCAGTGGTGACCCTGTCAGGACAGGCTGCCACCCCACCGGCTTCCCTTGCTGGCTGGGCCAGGAGCTCTTCCATGCAGAGAAGGGCTGGGAGGGAATTCCCAGCCACGTGTTTTACAGGATGCAGGAGTCTCACCATTGAACGCTTCCAATCAACAGAAGGGCTGAGCACCGACCTTACAACAATACACTCAGCCTTGCTCCAGTGAGCAACCCTACAAAAACAAACCAGGTCACCGAGCAAACCTGGGGACATGCCAGGAAGGGAAATGCTGGCAGCAGTGAAAAGTCCCCTAAAGTGAGATGAATGGCATGAAGAAAAGTTAAAGAAGCGAAGACCATGCACGGTTGCTTGGAGCTCACCTCCTCCTGTGGCTGCAACATCTGGGGCACGCAGAGCCACGACGGTGCTTTCGCAGCTGCTGTGTTGCCCCCTCTCCCCTGGCCTCGGTCTGTGCCCACCAGCAATTCCTCTCGGCTGCTGCAGCACATCCTCCTTCCCACCTGCTTATTCGACCCCCGAGCAGCCCCTGTGCCCCCGCTGCCACCTCCGATGCCTCGTTCCCTGGAGGGATGTCCAGCTCTGTGCACAGCCCAGCGGGGCAGAGAGCAGCCGAGGGGCTGGGGGGCTCGCTTCAGCATTGCCCTGGGGACCAGCATCCTTCCCGGGACCCCTCCCCAGCCCCATTCTGCCCTGTGCTTCCCAGGGACAGCTTGGGGGCCACCCAGCCCCACCGGCTTCTTTCTGGGGGCACCATGGGTGCAGACCCCGCTGTGTCCATCCAACCCAGCCGCCCTCCTTGGGCTTTGTCCTCCCCCAGCTCCGCAGCCAAGGCAGGCACAGGCAGTCCCCCCGTGTCCCCCAGCACAGCTCTGCCCAATAACTCCCACAGAAGGGCTGGGTGTTGCTTCCCCTTTAATTTACCACTTGTCAGGGGGGAGGGTTAAAAAAAAAAAAAAAAAATCAATAAATAAAACAACCTAGGATGCTTGAAGAGGATGAAAACCCTGAAACTGCAGTCTGCTGGTGGCTTGTCCCATCGCCAGAAAAGGGGAAGGGTGTCCCCAGCCCCCACCTCCCCACCACCCTGTCCAGGTGGGTTCGGTTGTGGTCGGATGATGCTCCTCGAGAAGAAAATGAAACAAAAGGTCAGGACACGGTCATTCACAGCTGACTGGCAGATGAAACAACCCCCAGAGTCTGACACCCCCGGCTCACCCGCCGGGAGGGACCTGTCCCACCTCCCTCATCTATTGCAGAAGCTTTCAGAAAAAGCCACTCGTTGCACGTTGCGTGTCACAAACACGGAGGGGGGACACACCAAGTCACAAGCAGTCCCTGCACAGAGCCACTTGTCCTTTGCGGTAGTCGCGGCAGGGGCAGAGGCGCCGGTACTTGGTGTTGTACCCTGCACAGCTGAAGAGCAGCGGCTCCTTCTGGAGGTAGCACTCGTGGACGTTCTCAGCCACCGCTGGGTAAAGATGGTTCATCTCGTACTCGGTGCTGTCGCAGGTGATGCTGAGCCTGGGAACGAAGACAAAGGTGGGTTGGTTCAGGGCAGGAGGCTGCCTGGGGTTTCACTGAAGGGCTTTTAGTGCTGTTCTGTCCTTCCCAGGGAGGTTCCTTCACTAACCGTTGGGCCAGATCTTTGCCGGTTGCACCAGGAACTGTAAGTGTTCTGTTTGGCACCCCCTTGGCTAGACATGAATGCTTGTCACCACCCCAACACAACATGCAGGAAGGGGTGACCCTCACTACTCAACCCTGAAGCCCAGAGACCACCCCAACCCTTGCATGGGCCATGGATGGCTCAGGAAATCACACACGGAAATCCAACCAAATCTTTTATATCCCTCCTGCTGACCAACAGGTCTGTCTGCTCTCCGTGGACACCTCCCACAGCAGCTAATGTCCCCTGGAAGGGCACATGAGTTCAGTGGATGCCCATGTGGCCCCTGCTAGCTGGGATTAGCCAGAAAAACTGGGGTGATCATCAGTGAACACCCTGAGGAGCAGCAGAAATGCCCGGTGTGGATCACGGCATCCCTCTCCTCCCACCTGTGCCCGCATCTGCAGATGGAGCAGCAGTACTAGCATCACCCTCCCACCAGCCCCTCTCAATCAATGAGTCCCTGAGCCAGCTCATTTTAAGGTCTGGAGGGGGGCATGGAGGGCAGAGAGTGAAATCCAAGCCCCAGCTGTAATTTATCACATAAAAATGTCAGTGGGACTCACAGCGCCTGCCTGACCAGCATGACAGCAATGGTAATGCTTGCATTTTAATTGCCCACAGAGCAGCAAGGAGCCCAGTGGCAGATTTATACTCTATTAAAACTTCACCACTGTGTTCAAAATGCAGTTTTATAGAGAAAGACATAAAAAAAGAGAGAAAGGGAGAGAGCGTGGAGGAGGTGGAGAGGAATGGGGTGGGAGAGAGAGAAAAACGTGCCTGGAAAGGCTATCGTTGCCTTCTGAAGTGTGAAGCTGGTCAGGGCCAACACATGCAAGCAATGGGCTCCTTTGCGGGCAGTGCCCTGCCTACATCACCTTGGGCACGAAGGCACCTCCATGGGATTTCGGGAGGGAGAACACAAGGAAAATGGGTGCTGGGGATGGGGGGAGCAAAGGGAACATCGTCTGGCTGATATCCCCCCTCTCCCCCACCTCGCTGAGAAGGTCACAACTCACTGGAGAAACACCTCCTTCTTGTTGAGGAACCTGAAGAAGGTGGGCTCGCAGACCAGCCCGTGCCGCCGGCACGTCTGGGTGCAGGTGTGCCGGGTCTCCGACACCCACACCTGCAGCGAGTCCACGGGGGGCCAGGCGTGGGGGTCCCGGCTGGCGCTGGGGGACCACACCAGGTGGGTGGCATTGGGGGACAGGGCCAGCGGGCTCGGAGGGCTTTGCATAGCAGGACTCTTGGCCTTGGGAGGCAGAGGAGGAGATGACATGTTGCAGAAATCCTAGTGGAAGAGAGGACAATGGGTTAGTGCCCGGAGGGACAGGGTGAGACGTTGGGGATAAGGAAGGGAGGCTGCTGGTGGGACAGGAGGACACTTGGGCTGCTGAGTTTGCTCCTCAGGTTTTGGTCACCTGCATGCACAGATGGCATCTCCTACTGTGGGACATGAAGGCACCAGCCACCTCTTCCTTCTCCCAATGCTGCCTTATTTTCTGCAGCAGAAAGGCCTTGACCCAGCCCCAGCCGCCCCGAGCCACCTTCCACCACCCCCCAACACCTCTGGTTCATGACAAACCTCCACCAGCCCCCATCTATCTCCTGGTGCTTTCTGCAATTAGGCTGCACAGGGCTGGGACCTGGCGTCCCTTGCTGGGGACCTGCACTGGGTCGGTGGTTGGTTGCCCAGAGGAACAGGACTGGGCCCATGGGAGGGCAGGGATGGTTCCCCAAGGAAACCAGGGATGGTCGCCCAAGGAGGACAGGGATGGCTGGCCAGGAGAACAGGGATGCTCCCCGACCTGGTGCTGAATGTAGGCATGGATCCGCTCCAGCATCCCCTCGCAGGTGTACTCGTAAGGCAGGTAAGGGTCCACCTGTGAAGGGAGAAGAGCAGAGCACAGAGAGCAAGAGGGGACAGCCTTGCACTCGCCCTGGGCCCAGTGACCCGGGAGAGCAGTGCCCCGGGCAATGGCTCTCCCCACGCGCTGAAGCCCACAGCTTGTGTCTGTCCACCAAAGCACGTAGATCAGAAAACTAGGACTGGAAAAACTTCACAAACCATAAAGCGCTAGAGAAAGACAGTAAAGGATTAATTTGTGTTCAATCTATGTATTGGTGAAAATGAAGTCACCCTGTTCTATTTTAGCCTCGCTTTTCTTCATTTTTGGTAAGTTATAAAATAAAATCAGTTTTCATGCAATAAGTCACTTCCAATTAAAGTCTGAACTGTTTTAGCCCAAGAAACACTCCACAGCTGCGGGCAAGCAGGGGGAGTAATTTTAAAATACAGGGGAAGAGTTAGGACTGGTAAAGATGCCAAGGTAATCCAGAGCAAGGGCATCCCAGAGGTGCCTTGGGTCGGGTCCAGCATCCTCTGTTCCTCTGCTCCTGCGTGCTCTGACCTCGGCATGGCTCTGCCTGCTCAGCGAGGAAGGTCCAGGCTTTGCTGCCCCGGCACCACGACCCACCAAACCAGCCGGTGAAAAGCCCAGGGCTGGGACTGGCTGTGCACAATACAGGGAAGTAAAAAAAAAAAAAAAAAAAAAAAAAAAAATCTCTCTTTTCTCACTGCCACTTTGCAGGGAGTTTGCTGCCCAGTGTGGACGGCTCTGGTGGGGTGGGAGCCAGTGTCTTTCCCCAGCCCCAGGGCTGTGGTGGTCCCCACTGCCACCGGCACGGGCTGGCACAGGGCAGGGAGGCAGCAGCCGGTGGCACACGAGGACGGAGCAAACGTTGATGTCGGCGCTGTCGCTGCTCCCCCACGTTGCTAACTGCTATTTATACCGAGCCAGCAGCACTTAAACTACCGTGTATTTTTAGCGTGGGTTACGAAACACTGCCGGTCTTTGGGAGACTTCTGCCCGCGCTCACTTCCTGACATCGCACCTCCCTGCCCTGAGAGTCACCCTGGGGTCCTGCCAGGGGGAACCCCCTCCTCTGCACAGCACCTCAGCAGCGTCCCCCAGCCGAGCGCGTCCCTGGCACGGCGGTGGCACAGGTCCCAGGGCGGCCATAGCCCGGGGTCAGCGGTGATTTTTCCCATGGCAAGAGCATTGCCATGAGGGCTGTGCCACTGATGCACCCCTTCCCTCTAGAGCAAACTATTTTTTAAGGAACTTTCTGCCCTGGGAAGACAGATTTTTCCACACCGTTATTTTTCCAGAGAGGTTACACGAGGCACAGGACATCGGTGCGTGGAAGGGGCTGGTCCTGAAACCCCTCTTTCCCCTGTGTGTCTCTGCAGAGCTTCATGCAAAAGAAGGATTATAAGCAAAAACACTGCAAAGATAATTAATCTGGAAAACACCATTTCTCCTATTTTCTGAGATCTGCACCTCCAAAATAGCTATCTCCTTTTGAAGTACCCATCAAATCCAAGCTCAAAGGCTCAGTCTGCTGAGAAGATCCCTCTAAGCATTTCCCTGCCATAAATATCCCACCTGAGATCTCAGCCAGGCTGGAAATCACAGCTGCTCGCTCTAATTACAGATGTGCACGCTAATCAGGGCTGACACAATGACAGGCACCGATCTTGCCTCTGAATTGCTGATGGGCGTTCAGTTAACTGGGACAGAGTCCTCCACAAAGCAAAACTGCCCATCTCAATCATACAAAGCCTGAACCGGGCTGGGTACTGGGCACTGCCTGGCACCATTTCGAGGGAGACAACCACCCCCTTGCTCAGCATCACCAAGGCTCGGTCTCGCCTTACCACTGCTTTCATGGCTGTAATGCTGGGGGCTTTTCCCAGGACCCCATTATACCAGGCACGGCGCAGATGTAATTCTGTAAAACAGCTTCTTTCCCGCAAAACCCCACTGTGGTACCCGGCAAGATGCGGCACATCCACAGTGGGGTGGAGGCAGGTGATGCTCTGGGCACAATCCCACCTGCCCCCAGGCTCCCAGGAGCCCTGTCAGGTCCAAGGGCACCAGGAAGCTGTGGCCGGAGCCCCCTTCGGCCCCTGCTTCTCCAACCCTGACCCCCGCATGTGCCCCTCTCCTCCCCAGGGGCTCCCCTAAAGGCTCTTGCTCCCCCGTGCCCCTCTCCTCCCCAGGGGCTCCCCTAAAGGCTCTTGCTCCCCTGTGCTCTCCTCTCCTGGTCTCGTTAGGATTCAGCTCGTGAGCCCAGGACCGATAGAAAATGCCAATTTTGAGAAGATAATTGTTTAATTAAAAACTGACAGGCTCGGCCACCTCTTGACAGCCACATCATTAATGCCACTCCCCGTGCTGGGAGCTCAGGATCTCCCTAGAGCCCCAGGGGGGAGGAGGAAGGGGGGCTCCGAGGGGGGACCACTGCATCCCGCTGCCTGGCGGGGCAATGCACGGGATGCCACAGCGGGGAGTGGAGGGGGTGGTGGAGATGGACTTTGCTGTTCTTTCCCTCAGGCGTTGGTGGGGAACACAGGGCCAGAGCTCTCCAGCCCCAGTGCTCTCCATCAGCCAAACGGGGAGTTACTGGTGCCCCATGGGGACAGCGCCACAAGACCCCTCATTTTATAGTTTCCAGCAGGAATCCCAGAGTTGAAGAGAACAATAAGTCTCTCCCTTGCTCAAAAGGAAAAGGGAGGAAAAAAATAATCCAAACATCATCAGACAAATAAGTAGAAAAATAATGCAATTCTCTGCCAGCACGTAACAGCAGGCTGGGAACACTTTAACCAGCTATTTTCGCTGTGATGTTTAATATGCCACTCTTTCAAGCATAGTCTGAAATGTATAATTTTCTATTATATTCCTGTATGTTTGACTTTAATATAATGAAGCCTTCTCCCTTCACTACACCAGAATATTGGGTCTATTAAATTGCTTGTGTGAGGACTATATTTGACAATGGAAAAAGCTGAAGGCCAAGAAAATGGTGGTGCTTGCAAACCTCTCTCCTTCTCCAGCCTCCAACCCCTGGCTAACAGCCATCACCCATCACCAGCACAAGAATCCCGCCATCACCTTTCCCGGGGGATGCAATTTGTCTCTTGGCCCTGTGCGACTGTGCCAGGATTTGATCTCTGGGGTAGAGAGGTTTGGTGCTTCCAGGATTTCAGTTTTCCTTACAAATAGGTCAGGGATGTGAGCCATCGGGGAAACCCCAAGCAGCTCCAAAGGGGGAATGAATGGCAGAGGCGCAGCTTGCCAAAAACCTTCCCCAGCAGTTGCAGGGTGACCTGGAGTCGGTGCAACCTCCAGAAGGATGAAGGAGGAGAACACAAGTGCTTTTCTTGGGGGGAAAAAAAACATATTGCAAACCCAAGCCATGTCCAAGCCAGATCTCTCTCCAGAAAGAAGAAGTTTCTTTCAAGCAAATCTAGGTTGGGTAGGGCCACCGGCTGCATCTCGGCTCCTTTATTTGCACAAATACGGCAGGCAGCCCTGCCAGCAAACCCGGCTGGCTCCGAGCACAGCAAAGGAAGCTCTGCCAGCCCGGCCGGAGCTGCAAGGACAGCACATCCCGCCCCGAGGTGCTGCCCCGGGTGTCTGCAATATAAATCAGGATGGCTGTACAGCCACACCGGCAGCGATCGGGCTGGAGAGCCATGGGCAGGCTGGGGCAGCCGCAAAGTAAGGCTGAAACATTGCTGAAGCATCATCCAATCCCCCAGAGCCACGATGCTCTAAACCAGGGTGAGCTGGTTGGACAGCTGGACCGTATCCAAATTAACTACCAGGTTCATGAAAGCAGCTCCCAAAGCCCTTGAGGGGTTGCCAGCACCCCGGGTCCCAGTCCCTGGCACCCCAGTTCCCAGCACCCGTCACAGTGTGGCTGCCACTGGGAAAAGCTGACGGCAGAGGCAAAGCAAAGGAGACATCTCACAGCTTCCCACAGCATCCCATATGCCCCAAAATATTTTACTGAGTTTTGCCTGGAAGATGCAAAACTAAAGCTGTGAGGTAAGTGATTTTTCAGTCTTACAACAACAACAAGAAAAAACAAACAAACAAATGACAAACAAAAAAAACCCCAAACAAACAAACAAACAAAAAAAGAGATAAAAAGAAAATCCATTTCAGGTCAATTTTCAATTTCCAGCATTTCCACCCATCAAGGAGGGGAAAAATGCTGTGTTTCAAGTTTGGCAGTCTGTTTGGGTTTGTGAAGCAAAGGGAAATGCATCGTTTCGGGTACAAGCCTTGCTTTCAATAAACTGGAAGGGTATTTTCAAACAAAGGCAGGCATATGGGAAACAAAAACATATTATTTCATTCTAGTAACGTTGAAATGAAATGTTTTCACTGAAAAAAATAAACTGGTGGTGATTATTCTGAAACACAGACAATTTTGTTAAGATATTCTGATAACAAAACACCTCATTCTGCCTTCGGGGAAAAAAAAAGGAGTCAGTAAAATAGTTACTCTGAGCTCCAGTACCTGGCTAAGAACAGCAACACTAAACAGCCCAGCCACCAGCTTTCTGCCACTCCTCCTGCCAATGTCATTGTTTTCAATTCCTGCTGTGACACACTATTTTAAAGACAAGATACCAAGGGATTCCTGAAGCCAAAGCACATAATAAGGTTTTTAAACCTGTAAGGTAGGTCAATTTTTAGGCTTAATTGCTTTGACAGCTTTTCTAATAAAGCAGACCTTTCTATTTAAAAGACTAAAAGGGAAAAAAAGGGGAAAAAATGAAGTTGCTGTAAGTTATTCACACTCACTCCCTGCTCTGCTTCGGGAGGATTTATACAGTATTTTTTAAAAAACCCAGAGAGGTGAGTTGTGGGATTAACCCAGCACGCTTCTCGGTGGGAAGGAATAACGTTTCTCGCGAGCAACTGCACATTTTCAATGCAAGTGGGACGACAGCACATGTTTTTATTAATTTGAGGCAAATTTAGGACTTCAACCTCCCAGCAGTGGAGGGTAATTACAGCAGTTGGGCTCTTCGTGGTAGGGGGCCTCAGGGTGGGGGTCCCTGGTCCCGCAGAGGTGGGTGGCAGCTTTAGCTGCCCCGTGGTCCCAGAGGAGACAGAGTTTATCCGGCTACATGGGGTGTCATGCTGGGATGGAAAACAGAGAGCAGCCGCTCTGGGATGCCCGGCCACCGTTACAGACACCCTTGTTCCAGCTCTGCTTTCCCTGCCCTCCATCAGCTGTTTAGCAACTGAAGAAATGTTAAATAAGGGAGGGAGGCAGGACGTGTTGCGACTGCACCGCAACTGCATTTACAGAAAGAGTGGGAACAAGGAGAAAAGCTGAGGTGGGAGCTCATCTTTGGACAAAACAGGGATCGGCACAGCAGCAGCACGTTCCCAGCGAGCACCCGGTGCTGGAGACAGCAGGTCCCCCACACCAGCTCCTCCTGCCTGGCGCCCATCACACCACCAAATCTTTTCCTAAAATCCTTCTTTCTTCTTTTATTTTTAACCAGAGATTATCATTAAGCATCTAAATGACCTGGTGCACATCCAGTTGACATTGCAGTGCAACACGGCTGCTCAGGAGCCAGCAGAGCCCTTTCCCCTCCCTAATTCTCCAATCATTTTAAAATTATTTTAATGGCACAGCAGCACCAGGCTTCACTATTTTCTTTCTCCTTTCTAGAAAAACTGAAAATTTCCTTCTCTTCTCTCTCCTGAAACAGAGACCAGCAGCTCCCGGCCAGCCGCCCACGGCGTTGCCTTCGCCTCAGGGCCATTTCTCCAGCCCAGATGGTGGAGGGTCAAGCACTGACAGCTGGCCCGGCAGCATAGCAGCAGGGATGTAATTATTTTTAATTTAATTTTAATCGAGATACGGGAATGAATGTGCAAAACAACAACTGTTTTCATAAGTCGGGTTTGTCCGGTCTTTGCAAACTTGTAGAGAAAATCAGCGCGAGGTGAAAAGCTGTGGCAATCAACCACGATAAGGTCTGAGACCTGGGCAGATGGCATGGGCACATCAGCTGAATAAAGTCCCCAGACTGCCACAGACACACAGTTCTGCAGTCTCTAATTCAGGGAAAAGTAAGGATGACACCTCTCTGGCCAGCACCACCCACGTCCCCCCCAGAATCCCACCCAGCACCATGAACCCCAGAGTCCTGCAGCCCAGTGCAGAGCCCTGGTTTCACAGCGCATCGCTGTCCTCACGAGGGGACAGCTCATCCCGAGCGAAACAAATTGCAAGCAAAACGGAGATGAGCACTTTTCTCCCCTCGAGGAAAATTGACTTTAATAATTTGGACAACTTGAAAGGCTCCTGCCACAGGGCAGGAGGTAAATATTCATGAGGGAGTGTTTCCAGGGCAGGTGCAGCAGGAGCGCTGCCTTCCCAGGGGGTCTCCACATCCCCCCCCCTTCCTTACACCCCTTCATCCTTCACAGAGGCAACTCCTGCAGCTATTCCTATTGATTTGCTTGATCTGAATGATAACAGTGAACAGAGAAATTGGGGAACAGCAGGCGCAGAGGTTGTCAGCTCTCGGGGTACTTGCAGGGAGTTGCTCTCTGGGTTTATCTTTGCTTCATGCCAGGTCCCAGCACTGCTGTGCATCTCCAGCAGCCTCAGCCTCCTGGTCCCAAACCTCATCTCCCTTATCTCAGCTTCCCCTTGCTCCAGCTCTGCCTGGAGGATTCCCAGGGGATCCCTCAAAGGCACAGTGCTGCCCTGGGCAAACACCAACAATGCTCGGTACGAAAGCACAGCGAGAACACAAGTCCCCCTGAAGCTGCAGGAGAGGAGGATTTCTGCCTTGCACGTGCAAATAATTTCAAAGGGGAAGCAAGGAGGGAAAAGCAATTAACACTCAAAAGGGAGAGCCGGGCACCAGCAACCACTGCTGATACCTGTTCCTGCAAACCCAGCAGATCGCCCTGCCACCTCCTCCGAGCCGTACCTGGGTCCTCATGATGGTTTTGATAGCAGCTTCAAACTCTTCGGAGTTATTGTAGTCGACAGTCCACACATGTGGCTTCCCGATGAAGTCTTCGGCATATGGGTGTTGGGAGGACACCTAAAACACAGCAGTGGGGGCTGGTTTTGGCAATCCCTGCCAGAAGAGCTGCTGTCTACTGCTTACACCCATGACAGCAGAGTGGAGCAGCAGGCTCAGGCACAGACACCTTGGGTTTTAACCCACAGCACATTGAGATGTGCTGGAAAAAGGTTTCCTCTGAATCCAGGTGCCCCCCGACATCAGGCTGATGCTCTAAAATTCCTGCTGGGTTGGGATGCCCCATTCCCATCAATAGTGAAATTGCCTCCACAGCCCTGAATATCTCAACCTCCATAACATTGACCTGATCCACTTGTGGGTCTGGAGTGGCAAAACTGGACCAAAACAGCAAAGGTCTCTGAAGGCACCATGTCTCCCAGGTTTTCCAGCTCCAGAAACAAGGGTAAGAGAAAATCCATCGCCACTGAAAGCTGGGGAAGTCTGGCACTGGGAGAAAGTGGTGCTGAAAGCTGCATTGCCCTGATACCGCAGGCAGCCCCACACACTGGTACCCCATAGCTACCTGCCTCTCACCAGGCAATTTTTGGGGATCTACTTTTTTTGTTTCAGCCCCTGAGATGCCTTTTCACCCCTACACTGCTGCGAGGCAGCCAGACCCACGATCTCCTCTCAGGAAGGGAAGAGAGAGGATGCTGAGCAGAGGAGGTGTTTTGGGGGCACCACAAAGCACTGCAGAGGGGCCTGAAACCCTGCCAGCTGGAGGAGCAGAGCAGTGTATGCTCTGTATTTTATTCTCTAGCTTGCTGTCCTTACCCATTTTTTTCCTAACAGATCAATCACCTCTTTCCCCTCCAGCATATAAACACCTTGGGGCATTTCATAACCCTCCCCCCCAGCTATCCTCCCAGCTCTGGGCTTAAGCACAACCACAGCACCCACTCGGGATGGGTGCTAACACCGGCACCTAACTAGGGGGGTGCATGGGACAGACACAGGGGTCCAGGGCAGCCCAGTGCCCCCCACCCCATGATGGATACCACCAAGCTGGGCTGAGCCGCATGGCCCCCCAGCAAAGCCCTTCTCGGCAGGAGTGACCGTTGCACTGCATTATCCACTTTATTAATAATAAAAGAGGCAATTTTCTCAACTCTTTAACTTTTAAAGAGTTTCTGCCTCACTTGGATTGAATTCCCAGTGACAAGCAAGTCTGGGAGGGATTTTGTACCCCTGCAATACCACAGAGGTCCCAGTGTCCCTCTGGGTGTACAAAAGGATGAACAGGGGAGCAATCACCCCAGTTTGGGAGCAGGGTGAAGGCTGTGTGTGGATCTGGGCTGATGGGGAAGGAGCTGGTGTTTGTGGTCTGCAGAAGTCGCCTGCACCACGTTCTCCTTCACAACCCCAAACCCGCCACAGGGCCCCTTGCATCCAAGCGCTTTGGATGGAGACCATGTGAGGATGGGACTCCATCTGCAGGTATCTGCAATTCGGCATTTGGAGGAATTCTTGCCAAAAAAAAAAAAAATAAAAAAAAAAAATTTCTCAGTTTAACAACTGCTTTTCCACCGTCTGGCCTGAATCCCAGTGGTTCCACCCAGCCCATCCACCCACCTCCTGCCAGACTCACCTCTCTCGACGTCGGCTTCCCACGGAAGAACTCATGGTTGAGGGAGCTGTGCGGGGGGTTGAAACGTGCCTGCAGGAAAACGCAGCCATTGGCGATTGCCTCCAGCGGGGCAGGACCCTCATAGGGGAACCCAAAGCCAATGAAGAGCTGCAAGGGAGAAACCCACGCGCTGGTGAGTGAACGTGGCCAACCCCCATGGGAAAGTCTCCCAAATAACCCACCAGCATCCCTCTGCGCTGCTCTGGTCCTGCACACCAAGCCTCTAAGGCAGCTCCATGTGGTTCAACACGCCAGAGCTTAGATGTGCTAAAAGCTCCCCTTGCTCCATGGCTCACAGCCCGTTTGCACAAGGCAGCGGGGTGTTCAGGAGCTGCGAGTTCCCCCAGAGTGGCTACGACCAACATACTGGCCCTGTATGGAGAAATACTGTTTTGCCAAAGCCATTTGGGCTAGTGAGTCAACCACACTTCCCCCAGACACCGGCTGAAGGTGACCAGGATGTGCCCGCACCCCACATACCCGCTTCAAGAATCCCATTTATTTTTATCACGGCTGTGGGGAGAAATAAAAAAAAAAAAAAAAACAACAAAACCACCCCACTTAGTAATAAATTAATTAATCAGGTAACTTTGTGCTCTGTCTGTGGACAGTCTGCAAGGAGAAATTCATCAGACACATCTTGATTTGAAATTATGTGCTCTGCTCAGCTCCCGGCTAATTAGCCCTGCTGATAACGCCTGCAAGCCTTGGAGGAGTGCAGATAACGGCCTCTCCCCCCTCACACCTCCCCCTTTAATTAGGTTTTCTTTCTCAAGGCAGCTGAGTCCTCGCTGCTGGCTAGTTAACGGGGTGCAAGGCCCTCTCGCCCACCTTCGCCTTCCTCAGCAGCTGCTGAAACTCGTGCTGTGGCAGCAGCCCGTGGTTCTTCACGAACGCCGGGACCTCGGGCGGCCGCTGCGTCTCGTAATAAACCGTGCCGTGGATCTCCATGTACTTATTGAGGATGGCCAGGAACTTCTCCTTACCCTGGGGAGGAAGGCAGAGGTGTGAACCACACCAGAAGATGGGGCTGACCCCCACCACGTTTACAGGGGCAGATTTCACTCTCAAACTGCCGTCCCTGAGCACCCGCGATGCTTCAGCCCGACCCGCAGCCGTGCAAAACCCGCACCCTCCCGTCTGCATCCCTCGGACACACAGCCTGGACCACCCCAGGCTCCCAACAAGCCCGGACAGCTGCGGGATCCAGCACCCTGAAAATCATCACCTTTGCAGAATTTTTTTTTGCTTGGAAAAAACACACAGGGACCATCCTTGGGATGTTGCATTTTCAGCTTGTTCCAGTGCTGCAGTGGGCCCCAAAAGCATGGAGACCAGGAGGGAATAAGGAGGTATAAATGGGGAATTTGAGAAAACTCTGCATGTTGCCTTAAATCCTCTCCGAACACTATATTTCTGCCCTCAGCCACGTATCCCTGGACTTCTCTGAGGCTGAAAACAAGCGCTTTTGGTGAGGTGAACCTGTGACCACTAACCCCCAAATCAGCACCATTTTGATATCAATTCCTTAACGCAAAGGGTTTGGGGAGATGGGAGTGAAACACAGCTTATAGTCCCTGGGTAGCTCCTGGCATCACCGAGCACCATCAGAGGGGACCGATCCCGCTGCACAGTGCGGGGGCTGGCATGGGAGATCCCCTCCACCCCTGCATGCGAGCACCATGAGCTGCTTTGACCCATGGAAGCTGGGCAGCAGCCTGATGAAAACAGCCTTTCCCAGCTTATTAAAACTTCAGCTCCTGTTGCAAGCCGGAGGTGAGAAGTTCAGAGGGGTAGGAAATGAGAAATAATGGGAAGGCAGGTTTAATTAAGTGTTTCTAAATGTCAAAAAGATCCTGCTCTGGGGACAGCGCCTGGTCCAAGGCTTGTAAATAAGCACCCAGCCCCAGAAGATGGAGATGCTCTTTTCCTTCCTAGACCTCAAAATCACTCAAAACAAGGAAAAGCTTCTCTTCCCCCTTATTTTGTTACATGGGGTGGCACGAGACACAAAATGATGCCCAGGCATCCTGACCTCAATGAACAGCCACCAGCAAGAACTAGCCCCAACCCCTTCACGCAGTAATAAGTTACCCCAAATATGCAGTTTTGGGGAAACTGATGCTGTTTGTGAATTCTGGCTAAAAGGAGCAAACGCTCGTAGCACTAAAGATGGAGGGAAATGTCCATTCTGAGGTTTTAACTCTCTTTAGCACCTTCCCAAATTAACCTAACTAAGCTCAGATAAAACTTCTGGATAAGAAAGGGTGGGGGGAATGGTAGAAAAAGAAGACAAGATATTATAGCTCTCCCTCAAATGAGATTTAGTGGGTTTCAGTAGGTTTTTTAGGAAGCCACCAAGCTAGGGGGATGCTGGGGGGATTTGGTCTCAGATGTGGGAAGTGATGGAAAAGCCACAGACACCAGTGAATAGGACACGGTGTGGCTGGATCCTGGCCCACCGCAGGCTTCCCTGTGAGGGCAGAGCCGCTCATCAGGAAAGGTGGGGATGGGGAGGAGACACGGCCGCCGGCTGCATCAACCTGCATCGATCCCAGCAAAGTCAACTCCAGCGAAACCTTTTCTCTCATGAGAAGACGTGCAGAGGTAAAGCCCAGCAGCAGCTGGTGCGGTACAATACCTGCAACTGGAACAGCCCCAGGCGGCATACAAAGGGGAAAAAAAAATAGAAATAAATCAAGAGACAATGAGAATTAGCTTCTTTTTTTTCAGAAAGGAGCTGGCTAGCTCTGGATAGGCAGGGAGGAGTACAGACGTCCCCTGGCCGCTACCGGAGATGCAGGGGGGATGTTTTGGGGTATTGCCCCCGTGCAGCTGTCCACCCCTCTCCCCAAGGTGTTACAGGCGTGGGTGGGCAGTGGGGCAGCACAACCCCCTTTCACAGGGACAAACCATCTGCATCATAACACAGGAAACCACCTAACGGCAACCACAGTAATTAATTACATAAAATAATTGATATGAAATCCTCAGTCTAAGCAGCCTGTTGGGAGGAAGCATTGCCCAGAGCAAAGACCAGGGGACGGGGTCTCACCAGTCTCTGCCCTGTTTGCTCAGAGGCGCTGGACATGTCACATCAGTGCAGCAGCCTCAGCTTTCCCTCTACAAATGGGATAATGATGCTTCTCTACAAACACACCGAGACCTGTGCTTCAAGAGCTCGGGGTAAGAGGCAGAGGCTGCTGCTGCCTCACAGCTCTGCCTCCAGCTGCCCCTGCCCGGCTGGGTGCTCCCCCCAGCGCCGAGGACACCCACCTTCCAGATGCTGGCCTCCTTCCCGTACACCACTGCCATGCTGCTCACTTTGTTGGACTTGATGAATTGCCTCTCCGTCTTGTTGAGCTCCTCCGACACGAAGCCCATGAAGGAGTTGTCAGGGGTGTGAGCTGTGGACACCAAGAGGAGAAGACACGTGGCTGGACAAAAGTTTGCTGAGATCTCCTCAGGGCTGAGGACGCAGCCCCATTGCAACACAGGGGCTGAGATGAACCCAGCTCCAGAGCCTTGCTGGAGGCTTGGAGGAAAAATGGCATGAATCCAAGCAGCTCATAAAATACAGGCTTTGGAACTCACTCAAGCAACTTTTTAAAAAGTAGGGCATTAAGGCTGCCAAATGGGCTTTATCCAGCCAGGAAAAAGCAACTTTTGAGTCACCCAGCAGCCAATAGGTCACAGAATCACTGAGCTGCCTCTCACCTTTAGAACCCCAGCTGAAGTAAAACCAGGTTTTGCAACCAAAACCATCCCATTTCCCCTCCCGGGAGCTGGAAGCTCCTGGCTGTGCCCTGTGTTTGGCCCTGACTGTGCTGGAGCCAGCAGCCCATGGCAGAGGAAGGAGCCAGGTCTCTCTCCCCTGAGCATTTCCATAGCCCAAGAGATGGCCAAGCAGATTTGGGAGCGAGCAGGCGGGGAGAAGCAGGAGCGGAGCGGGATACGACAGCACTGCCCGTGCATCACCTCCTGAAGGAGGGGAGACCTGCTTCTGTGGTGCCTGTGAGCCCCCCGACACCGCCCCGCCGTGTCCCTGGCCCCCACTTACGGAACATGGTCATGAACTGGGTGGGCTGCAGGTTCCAGTAGCCCCAGTTGGTGCGATAGCCGCGCAGCGTGGCGTACTCCTCGTGGTTGTACGCTGGCTCCGTCCCAAAGGTATCGATGACCCGGACGCGGCACCTGGGAGAGGAGACAGGACCCGAGGACCTCAGTTTGAGAAAGTCCCACTGCCGGGGACATCTGGTGTCCCCAGGCAGCTCAACCCTTGTCTGCTCCTCGAGCGGAGGGTGCGGGAGCATCCCAAGCAGGCTTTCCCCACCCACTGCTCCCTCATGTAATGAGCAATTTCTCCTTGCAGGGCTTTCATCTCCCTGACGGTTGCAAGAATGATGTATCTCCTGAAGACTTGTTAATGCTTTTCCCAATATCCCAGCAATGCTGAGGTAGGCATTACCAGCACAAGACCGAGGAGAGAAGGGGAGCATCAAGCAAGGGAAGAGCAAAACAAGCTAAATGTGAGAGCAAATGCATTTATAATAAAAGCAATAATACTGCTTGTCATTTTTCTCTCTAATAAAATTGTGTAGGATAATGGAAGAGATGGGAGAAAACATAATAAATAGCAGGACTATCAGCACTAAATTAAATTGCATATTTTCCTGGATGGTGATGTACCAGGGGATGATGACATTTGTCTTGATGGCGAAGGAGCCAAGGATGGGGCTTCTTGCAAATACAAAAGGCTTGCAGTTCCCTCTGTGCTATGGCCACCCCTGTCTGCAGGCACAGTACTTGAAGCACCGACACACTGCAGGCACACCCAGGGTCCTTCGAGGTCATTAACATTAGTCTCTGCCTGCTAATTAATGAAATGGGGAACAGGAGGAGTGGCTTTGCTTACCTGTATTTCTTGAAGGAGAGCCCCATGTGCTGCTTCATCTGTTGGAGACCATGGTAGTCGGTGTAAATCAGGTCGAAAGGCAAAGGATTGGTCAAGGGGCAGTTTCCCCGTCCTGGAGGCACCCCTAAGTGACTGGGGAGAAGCAGGAGGGCCCGATCAGCCCCCCAGCACCACAAAATCCCTGCAACACACACACTCATTTCCCTGCTGGGCGTTTAACATAGGCCATCAACCAGCTCCTTAGTTGGTGGAGGCGGAGGCAGATGGTTCTCCTCTCCCCAGTCTTTATTTCCTGGGCCAAAAATATGAGGTTCGGGGAGTCCTGGTCCCTCCCCATCTTTTCACCTGCTCCAGCCAAGTTCCTGCTCCTCCCACGTGGATGATGAGGCTTTTGCACAGCATTCCCAGCCAGGGCTCACCAGCATCTCATTCGACACAAACATTCCCCTGGACCTCTCTTGTCGAAGACACCAGATTTCGTTTGCTTTCATTGCAATCACATCAGTGACAGACTTGTAAAGCCATGTTTCCCCTCTTCCCTGCCTGCAAGGCTCCCATCTTAGCTTAAATCTCCCCGTTCCCAGCCCCATATTCCTCCCAGCACACACCATGCACGGTTTCTGTTACTCCAGTCCTTACAGGTACCCACCACATCCCAAAGCACCCTCAGCTTCTCCTTGACTCTGCTGGCACTGCTTGTCCTCAAATGTTGTGCACATTTCATTATTATTTCTCATTTTTGTCCCACTTATGAAATAGTTCAATAAAGCCAGGGCAGCCAGACCCTGGGTCTCACTCAGTGGGTTTTCAGCCAGTTCCTTACAACAGCCATACTAAACCCCTCTTGCCTCCTCCAGCAGATAAAACACATTATGAAAATCCAGATAAACTACATTGACTACAATCTCTTTATCAAGATCATCAGTTACCTTGCTGCCAGGGTGATATGCGATTAATCCAGCATCATACAAGGCTGGTAAACCTGCGGTATGTCTCCTTCCATTTTCAATTACCTCTGTGAACTGATGAATCCCTCTCTGCAAAGCTGTTTCACTAAGTGTACCACTGATGTCAGCCTGACAGCCCATCTGCTTGCCTGGACCACGTTTCCTCCTTCTCAGAAAAAAACCTGTGACACCTTCCAGCTTCAGTAGGTTTCTCAAAAATCCTTGTTACATGTACTTGTGATTTCTGAGTGCCAATTTGCTCAGAAATACAAATGATCCACCCCTCAGTTTCAATGCTCTTGCATATTTTTCCTCCTAAAGACAATAAGTCCTCATCCTCACTCTCATAACTCCACTCACACCCCAAGAGCAACAGAAACATCCTCATGGAAAACCAAAATGTTGAGCTGATTTGGTTCACCCAGGCTCTGCCCCACTCCTACCATGCAGTCACCCCATTTCATTCTCAATCTTTCTAACAGGGATGAGGAATTTCTGTTTTATTTTGCAAGTCTGAGCTCAGACAGTGTGAAATCTCACCCTTAGCTCCTGCCTGCCAAGATGTCTGTCTTTGTTTTCTTCTGGACTCTTCACTTACTCCTAGCACCTATTTGGAGATGGGAATTTATCCCAGACATCCCTGTAAGTATTTTCCCTTTTCTTAGGAATAAAAAGTCCAGACAGGTTTTACATTCCCAAGCTTTGAAGCTTTCCCCCTATGTGACCTCTCTTACTCATTCTAATCTCTCTGCATTTCCCCTTCTGAACATGAGAATCCTCTTTCCAGCCCTACCTAGGTTTTCTGTTGCTCAGTTGAAGCTCCAATGGACCCACAGTCCAAGGGTCCATTCTCTGAAGAGCACTTCCATAAGTTCCTCATCGCTTGCCCAGACCTACAACTATGCACAGCATTTCATCTATTGATCCCATGGCTGTTTGCAGAGGAAATCAATGGCTCTCCCACCTGGGGAACAGCCAAGCAATACAGTTATCACAAGCATTTCCTCTCCAATCTCTCACTAGTCTTCACCAACATCATCACAAGGGGTCATACATAGCCAGTGAAATTGGTTGGCCAATAGATATGAAAAAGGGCTCTTGGTCTGCTCCTGGCCATATCTCCCTCTTCTTCTGATATGGCTTGCAAGCCCTTGAGCGTTGGGCACCACGATCTTCCTTCCAGCCCCACCCTGACCTGAGACTGCTGAAGGGTCATCCCAAAATACTGACCATGACTCCAGAAAACAAGTAAATGTGGAACCACATTGCTTGCTAAAGCCAGGAAAAACACACAATTTCAATTTAAGGCGAAGAGCTGTGTTTGCAGCTGCTTCATTGCTCTTGTCAAAAAGAATATAAGCATCAGCTCCGGGCAGCCCGGCTGGGTCAGCCGCAGGGGAAACAGGTTGCCGTTTTATCACTTTTATGCACAATTTTACATGACATGGCTGATTGGGAATATGACAGGAATAGAAGGACTCTCACCTCCAACAGTCACCTCAGTACAGTAAATAGGGCAACACGGAGACCTACCCCTCCTGGGGAGGCTGAAGGGGAAGGGGAATTTTTAAGCCAGTAAAAAACCCCCCAGGATTTTATAGAGGTGCAATACTAAATACCACATTTTCTCACATACATGCTGCATTTTCCTCAGTGATCAGCCAAATGGCAATGCTGATTTACACCAACTTGGCGCTGTGGTGGAGCTACTCAGCTGATCCATAAACCTTGTATTTAACTAGAAATCCTCAAACCATAACATGTCTCTTGCAGCATACCCCGTCCTGTAGCTGGCACACATCATGCAAGCCGCTGCATTACAAAATAATCCGTAATTTTTTGAAAGCCCTAACCAAGCTTGACAAGGGGCTGCAGGAGACAGTAATTGGTGTATCTCATACCGAAGCTTCCAAAAAACTTTCCACCGCTTATGTAGAGCAGGTCGGGCTCCCCTGGCTCCCGCTTGTCACCACGATCTGCCACACGTCCCCTCTCTGGGTGCCCAGGACTTGCCACATCCAGTTACGCTCCCAGCGCCAAGGCTGCGAAGCAGGAATAGATCTAAAAGCAGGACCAGCGTCTTTGAAGCAGAGCATCTCTCTCATTTACCTCCCTCATCCTTCCTAAACACTTTATAACCACTGATCTTAATATTCCAATCATGCAAATCCAGGCTGCACCTCAGAGATGGGGGGGATTTTTTTTTCATTCCTCCTTATTTAAACATTCTTTATTCAAGCTTTCATCATTTGCCAGTTAAGTCAACTAATTTTCTGCTAAACCCAATTTCACTCATGGTTGGAGTGAGATTTCCCTGATTTTTCCTCATGCCATGTACTATTAATGGCGCTTGAAATTATGCAAATAAAATTGATGAGTGCAAATGCCTTCTTCTCAGCCAGTGCAGCCAAGAGATTTGTTTTTGAAAACCACTTGATCCCAGCTCCTGGAGAAACCTCCCCTCCCAGACCAGCCAAGGGTGGCGAGCAGCTCGTGCCCGGGCTCAGCACCTCCAGAGCCCCAGCAGGTGACCCAGTGGCTTGTCCCATCCCGACAGGCAGGATTAGTGCAGCGGCTCAGCGCTCGCTCCTCTTTGGGAGAGAGCAGCCGAAGCAGCTTCCATCCAAGGGATGGAAGCGCTGAGCTCGCCTCCCCTCCAGCTGCCTCCACCAGCTGTGCCTACTCCAGAATAAACCCACAGCAGCTCCTTGTCCTGCTATTTTCCCCTTGTAGGTACTTTAATCAACCAGGGGACGCATTTCTTTCCCAAGCACGGTGCAGGATCTCTGAAATCAGATGACTGCAGGGTTATCTTTACATCCCATTGACCTATTTTCATATCAACCCAACATTTCCTTCCACGTTATCACTCCTGGGGCTGAAAAGTCCAGCACTAAATGGATCTCGTGGGCATCTGCTGGCAGGTTGGGACAATATCCTGTATTATATTTAATTGCATCTTCTCTGCCTGCATCTGATGTCATCAGCAAGGCAGACTGCAGCAGGGGAAATGGAGGAGGGCTTCTTTCCTTTCTGCTCCCTCACCTTCTCCTTGTCTACAAGAGCCCAGCAAGAGCCCAGCAAGCACAGGGCCATCATCCAGGGGACGAAAGGTGCTGGAGTCAAGCCCGAGCAGCTCCCAGGGGTCTGTGACAAGCCCATCACAAGCAATTTAAAGTGCAAATCGGAGCCCACGAGATGGAACACCCCACTGCCTGGGCTCTGCTCCCAGCTCTTCCTCCTGCTACAAGGGACACAATGACCTCAAAAGGGAGGTTTTTCAAGCTATTACAGTATGTTTTTTAAAGCCACCTGCAATGGTTTTACTTTTGCAGTGTGCATTTGAACTGTTTTCTCTGGCCCATAATCAATCCTGTGGGACACAGCCCTACCCATCTGGGGGGTGAGGTCTAGCAATCAATTTATTCATTTCCAAGGTTCAACAAAACCCTGTTTTCCCATCATGGCAGGATGCAGCGCTTGCTGGAAACCTTAGCAGCACGTCCCCAGAAGACAGCTAATGCTCAGATTTTGTCACTCGTCTGACCAGCAGCAGCTCCATCGGGTCTGGGCAGGGCTCTGCCTGGAGATGCCCTCCGCTGGGAGTTCCCCAGGAAGGCATGTTTTCCGGGCTGCAAAGATAAGCCATGAGGAGTGAAGAGTGCTGGATGCTTTGCATCTTATAAAGGGATTGAAAGCCTCCAGAAATGGGGATTCAACAGTTCTGCGGGGCTGGAGGCTGGGTTTGATCCAGGGGATCCCCGTTGGACCATCTCTGGGTCCACTGAAACCTCCATCCTCCCCAACCTCGCCAGCCCAGAGGGCTCCAAGTCCCCGCAGGGAGGATCAACCCTCCCCACATCAGGCATAACCTCTTCTCACCTATATAAATTACCCAGCAATTAATATGGTTATGATAATCTTTATGTGACAAAGCAGAGGTTTTCACAATGGCAAAGAATCCAGCGAGCAAATTGTCATTTGGCTACAAAATAAACATATTTCATGAAAGAGTGTAATTTAACAGCTCGGTAATTCCTGCTAATTTGTGCACCTTTCTCTCCTACAAAATAAAGCCCTCAAAGGTGGAAGAAATCCCTCTCTGTTGCTCCTCACTACGGCTGGGCAGCTCATCCCTGCTCCCCATGTAGCTGCTGACAGCAAAGCTCCAAGCCGCCTCCTCGG